CTCAAGATTCAACTCAAGACTTTAAATATAAGATTGAACTAAGAAATGCTCCTAGCGTTTGGTACGTAACAAATTATGCAACCTTCATGTTAGTTATATTTACTTTACAAACTTCTATTGAATTCTTTGAATTATTTTTTATTATTTTATATAATTTATTATTATTGTCAGAAGAGAAGACTCTTTTTGTTTACAAAATGATTATCTACAGTTTTATTTGCTTACATCACATTCACCAATACTTTATTTGCTCACAAAAATTATTATCTATAGCTCAATTGTCTACATGCACTATATTACGCATAAATAAAAATTTCAGAGACAAAGTTACATTTGCCTACACCTATTATTGCCTACATGTAAAACATTACTTATATAAGAAAATAATTTGTATTTTTAAAACAAAGAATTTTGTATTTTCAAAACAGAGAATTTGTATTTTAAAACAAATAATGTGTTTTAAAACAAAGAATTATACTTATAGACAATTGGTTTGTATATAATATATACAAATAATACACAATATTATTGCCCACAGCCCTTTTTCATATCAATAAAAATTTCAGAAACAAAATCAAATTTGCTTACACTTATTATTGCGTACGGATCGATTGCCTACTAACACTTTTGTTCATACATATAAAATTAAGGAACAAAGACACGTTTGTGTGCACATACGTATTGTTATCTATGCAAATGTGTCTTTTTCTTTCAATTTTATATTTGTGCACAATAGTGCATGTAGGTAATCGTATGTTGTAGGCAAATGTTATGTTGGCAAACAGTGCTGTAGACAAACGGGATCCTCCCTTGTCAAATAACAATGTCAAAATTCTTCAAAATATCTTTCTTATTATTAAAAATTGTGTAATTTTTAATTACTTTTAACAGACTTATATTATTATTATTATTATATTAATTACTTTAGTTTTTATAAATTTAAACTTATAGATAGAACATCTATATAATTCTATATAATTTCTTAACCGTTGATATTTTTGTATGAAATATTCTTTGCTACCTTTAACCCAATAAATCTGTTAAGTTTTACTTTTTCAGCAATTTTCTTTAGGTGGCAGCAACAATCTCTACTAGAAATGTTAAGTTTCTTCCTAATTTTTCGATTACCGATAAAGTATCCGTTCTTGTACTTAATCGCTTTTAGAATTATGAGTAAAACAGAGCACTACTTAATCCAAAGCCCCAAGAACACAATGATAATTATAAATTATTTACCTAAGGTTGATATCGTTTCTCACATCGTCAATGATTTAACAAATAAGCACAGTCGGTAAAGCAATCAGTAGCGTAGAACGAATGCACTGAATAATAAAAATTACTAGTTGTTTACGTAATTTAGATGTGTAATATACTTTAACTTTGCTTTTTAGCTAATGATTTTATAGAAATTTATTATAAATTATATTTTTAGAAGAAGAAAATATAAGTTATATTGCTTTTTTCAAAAAGTAAAGCAACTAAAAAAATTAAATTTTTTTAGAAATAGGGAAAACTTAATTTTTAACTTGACAAGAAATTATTGACTAATTAAATAATATTGACAAAAAGTATACATTCTTAATATGATCAAATTTCATTTTCGTTATTTTCGTTTCATAATCCTGAAAAACTATTCTTTTTTAAGTTTGACGATTTTTAATCCTTTCTAATGTAAGTTGTTTGATAATTTTTTTATAAAACTGAGATAATTAATACACTTTTGATGATTTTGACAGGAAAAATATCTACTTAACTCATTCATGGTAATTCATGTTTTTAACTTGTGTCACTTAAAATAAAAGCACCAAATTATGTTTCGAAAACATACAGTATTTGTTATACATTTGAGAATGTAACTATATTCAAGCTGCTGTCTATTGGGTATGCAACGTGTAAACTAGCCATCTTAAACATCATCCTAAATAATAATTATTGTATTAATTTACAGTAACAAAACGCGAAAAAACTGCAAAAAATTGCTTATATCAAAAATTTAATTTATTTTTGCTTAAAATATACTTTGAATTATTAATTATTAATCATTTGAACTTACATTTTACAATTTTACTGTTATATGTACAATGATGTTTCGCAAATATTAGTACTAAAAAAATATTAATACAAAATATTATATTTTATATATATAATTATAAATGTTATGACTTAGGATCTGAAAAAAATAAATTAATTCCCCATAATTACTACACTCATTGTTACGAACGTGAATTTTTCATATTTCTGAGCAAATGCATTTTTTATGTTTAATTTTGTAGATTTGCGTATCATGGATATCACAACATTATAATATATTCAGAAGCTATTAAAAATTAACGTTCGTATTTATCAGAAATATATATTATTTTAATGTCAAGTTCACATCAAATTGATCAACTATAATAAAAGAACTTATAATAATACAAAAACTTTTTCATTTTATGACAAAACCTTAACTGGATTTTTTAAATGTAAAACTAATATATCAATTACGCTAATGCTAAATACGGATAGCCGTAAAAAAATATGGATAGCCTACAAAGAATTAGAATTAAATCGGTTTTTTTATCAGAAAAAATAATGATAATGATTGCAACCATTGCATTTTTATTAATTACGTTACGCTTATGACAAAAAAAAATATTTTTTTTAAGTATTTTTGTATATAAATTTGTTGAATGCATATTAAAATTATTTAAATGCATACATAAATTTCTCTTTTGCATCAATTTATAAAATATTTAATTTTGAGGATATTTTTAATTTTGGGGGAAAAATAGTTGCGAGAATAAAACAATAAGATAATTTAATTAAAAGAGAGTATTCAAGGCTTAAGAAAACCTAACTAATTCAACATTTCTATATCATTTATTTTATTATACATTTTTATTAATGTAATATATTTTCTTATTATTTTCATTGTTTATATTGTAATTATAAGTATGGTAATTAAACTGCGCCTGACGTGCTGCAACCCGTTTATCTGAACTTTCTGGAGAGTGCTTATACTATTGAGAAGCGTCTCACAAAGCTCTTCTAATTGTAAAACAGGTGGCGTCGTTTCTTGTAAGAGAGATTTAACGCCCACCTGTATAAAGCAGAGCTGCTCATTAGACCGATTCTGTACATTTCTCGTCATTTCGTGCCTTTGATAATCAGGAGCGTTAGAACTGTGATTCTCTGCTTTATCATCGACTGAAAACAGACAAAGAAATGAAATAGAAGAAAGGTATATGTAGGTGGTCGAATTACGTATAATTACAAGATCCGCTTTACGTATATAGGTAGAAGTGCTCTCTTGCGTGATAGAGAGCATGGTGTAAAAAGAACGGTGAAACATTGCGCATAGTAATGGCGGAGTCAATAAAATTTACGTCCATATACATCCCCTAAATATTAATGATAACAAGGGACAACTATATTGCTTTTGAACATTTGGACCCGATTCTTATTGGTCGACTACTGCGCATCCATAATGTTGTTTCATCTTTCTTATTACACCATGATAGAGAGCTTCACAACCATTTGGTCGCTAGAATAACTAATTTTATGGTCCGTTTTTATTGTAACATTGTATTTTTATTCTTCGTTAGAAAACAAGGCTAAAATGACGCAAAATCGTTGATAACGCACTCCAGAATGCAGACCTATCGCCCTATATGTATATAATTTCGATTTAAGCACAAATATGACTGACGCACAAGCGAGGGTCCCGTTTGCTTCTTTAACGCAATTATTACCGAACAGCTGATCAGCTGGTCGGAGAAGTATAGATGTACAGTAAGCACGTGTGCTACGTGTTTATACGCGCCTATATACAGGCACTCATTACAGCGGTGTGTTCATTTATGTATCATGCACGCGCGTAAGATTTTTGAAATACTTTCGATGAAAAATCAACTAATATAAATATAATTTTTTGCAAAATGAATCTTTTACATTTTGCATTTTATAGAGACATATGTTACATATATGTATTCATTATACACATGTGTTCCTATTTAAAAATGTGCATTTTTTATAGTAAAAGAGAGAGAGACAAGGAATGAAATATTAAGTTATAATAAAAAAAAAATCATTATAAAAAAAATGTTAATAAGAATACCTGAAAAAATTTATTAAAAATATAAAGAACGTTAAGCATATATTTCTTTTAATAAAAATAGCGTTACTTAAAAGATGCTAATTGATAGTAGAAAAACTACGTGTTTCAGAAAAGTATTAATAACAAAGAGGATATAAAATAATATATTTAGAAAAGAAAAGAAAAGAAAAAATTGATAATTATTTTAGTGCATTAAATATTTCATAACGGTAAACTTTCAAATTTTTAAAAGTAATGTTAAGTACCGTGTTAACTAATTTAACAAGGTCTTTAACAAGACTCCTTTTAAGTAACACCTTATCGTGGCATGAAAAAGTTTAATACTCGAGAGATAATCCCTAAGGGGAAGAATATCCCGAAAGGGAAGCTAAATATTATATCTCGCAAGAATATAACACACACACACACACACACACACACATACACACACGACGGCTAAGGAAGCGGCTCAAAAGATAAAACTAATACCTTAAAACACATACAGAATTAATTTTTGCAATTTTATATAGAATTAAATATTATAAAGATATGATTCAAAAAAATTTCAATATTATAATAGATATTTAAATTGATGAAAATTAATTTTTTAATTTGTAAAATTGAATCAAATAATATTATAAAATTACGTAGAAGTCCTAAATTTTATGCAATTATTATCTAATTTTTGTAACTGTCTATAAATTTAATTTCTTGTAACTTTAAAGCTGTGATCATTTTCATATTAAAATCTTTAAAAACCTTATTAACTTTATCATCTAATTAATTATTATTATTTTATAAATATTATAAAGAGTATATAATGTATTGATTGCGGGAGTTGGTATGTAATATACATTTGCTGTTTTTGTACATAGAATTTTTATTTGGAAATATATATATATCATAAGAGCACTAAAAAATTATGTACTTAGAATGTCGCGCGTCACTTAAATTCTACAGAGTATGTATTCAGAGAGGCACGGGATGGTTCAACTTTTCATCTTTCGCTTCATCGGCCGCGAGACTCCGTTATCATTCTGCCTACAAGTGTTTCTAAAAAGCAACGAGGACGAGAATTGGGAGGGCAAGGATCCGGTGATTATGTACAAGTGGGAAGTCTCCGGGATTGTCTCGTTCTCGTCGAGCATCAATTTTCGTGAGTCGCGTATCAAGATGTGCAGGCTCTCGCCACTCTCATCACGCGGGCAGGAAGGGGACGAGCTTTTTCCCCGCAAGTTTCATTGGCGATCGTACGCGATAGCATTTCCTCGAGAAATCAATCGATCCTCGCGACCGTATGCGGCGATATGCGTTTGACCGATCTTAATTTACATAAATAATAATAATTATAGTCGAGTCGCGGAAGAGAAACCGGACGCGGTACGTTTCCCTTTGCGAAAACAGAGGCGCTTCGCTTCACTTTAATATTAGTATTACGGCCCGATCTTCAAACGGCCAAGGTAACACTTTCTAATCGTGATAAGACGATTCCGTGATCCATCCAAAATTTTGCGTCTCAACGCACTCATCGCCCGATTGCTTTCTTTGTATCTTGCATAGCCGCGCCCTTGTTCCGATCGGTTTGCCGTGGTCGATTACCACGTCTTATCCGACGTGATTCCCGGACTTGCCGGAAAAATGATCAATCTCTGGATAATCCGATCGTTTGATCGGCTGACGCGTTGACGCGTCGCTCGTTTCGCGAATGATGAATCACTTTCTCGCGGAGAAGCCGTCGCCGGTTGGGTCCAACAACCACGGATAGTTATTGGGGCACTCCATGCAGGTGAAGAGACGCAGAGTTTCGCCGGGTAATTCTCTGGTCGTCAGAGGGCAAGCATTGGGCAACGAGCAGTAGGGCAAACCCTTCTCGTCACAGGTCTCTTTCCAATCCTGGAAATCTCTAAGCGCGGAGAGCTCAGTGGGCTGTTGCATCCACTTAATCACCTGGAGAAAAAAACGGAATATGCAACTTCTACTCTTTCATATATGAATACATTAATAATTATTGCATGGACAATTTACGAGGCATTTTAAAATTTAGGTAGATATAGATATCTGAAAATAATCTAAACAGCACAGACCTAAAAGAGACATTCTCAAGACGTTCAGAGAATGTTCCCAGAACGTCTTTCAGATAAAATGTGTTGTGTGGGAAGAGCACATTTGACATATTATAGTAAAAACTATTCATTATTAGGCCGCGTATTTATGACATTTTTGTTTGCCACATTATAAGCTACATTACATGTATGAAAACTAATTTATTTCATTCAATTTTTTTTATAATTTTTTTTGTTGAACAATCAAAATATTATGTAAAAAATTCAAGCATGCATAAACAATGCTGTAAAAAATTTTGATATTCTAGTAATCAGTTTTACATAATTAATTTGATAATTCGACACAATTTTTTCAGATGTGTATTAACTAAATTTTTCCTTCAGCAAAAAATCGTTCTCTCCGTGCAAAAAGTATAATCTCAATCTCTCACCTGAACCATAGTGACGAAGTATACGTCGCTCCTGGCGATCATTTCTTCGATGAACTTAATTAGCTCATCCTTGTATTCTTTCTTGCTCTTCAACCAGGATGCATGGAAGTGCAGACCGAGTGGCGCCCGGTTGCTATTGAAGTGCCTGTTGAAGTTGTGTCTGAGCAGACGAGCGAACTGTTCGCCAGTCTGGATGTTGGAGCAGGAGTCGACCATATGACAACCCGGCAAGGACTCATCAAAGGTGGGATCGTCTCTGCGATCCAGTTCGTTCATCACCATCTCCCAAACTGGATGCGACCTTGACGGGCAGTTACCGCCGTTGCCGTTACATTTGTGAGGCATCCTGAAGTACAACGTGTACGGCCAAATTGGTACGCGTCCCAGAGACGCAGTGATGGAGGCGTCATATACGAAGAATTGATCGGCCATCATCTCAAACTGCTTGTTACCACCGACTCTGAGATAAGGAGCCCTCACACCAATGATGGAGCCATCGGTGATATTAGCAAAACGCTCGATGATCAGCCTGGCACCAGCCATCTCTGCCAGCCAGTCATCGTACGTACCCTGGCTCCAATATTGCGGATCTTCCTTGTGAGTCAATGAAAACACTGCGATCTCATGTCCACGTCGATGAAGATCCTGCACCGCCGAATAGTTGGTGTACTTGTGAGAAACAAAGAATGTACCACGGATCTGGCAGCCATTCGGATTTTGACGTTGTCCGTTGAAGATCTCTTCGTACAGATCGATATTATCCACATTCACAGCGCCGTTGAAAGTGATAGTGATCATCTGCGGCACTTGCTGGGGATCGATGTTGCCAGGGATACGGGTACCATCGGCCGAACAGTAGCAATCAGGTAGGACGCATTGCGTGGGATCGCAATCTGGAGCACGGTTGGGATCGGTCTCCACAGCTATAAGGCAAATGCGTTTTTAATAACATGTACATTGATTTCAAAAAAATTAATGTAATTTCTTTATTTAAATCGAATTAACCCAAAGCGTCATCGAAAAAAAAGTCTGGTAATATCAAATATTATATATTTGCTCTCAATTATACGTGCCAAGTCGTCTCGATACTGAAGTTATCAAAGACATTCTTATACATCTACTTCGATACTTTAACAATTATATTCGACGTTTCTATTGCACAACGCGACTATAATCCAAATCTAGGATAGGTTCATGTTAACATCAGTAGACGAACGTAATCAGTAGTACGTTGCAACACTTACTGCAGGCGTTCTCGTCGGACTCGTCCTTGCAGTCGGGTTTGCCATTACAGAAGAGCTCCTTGTCGACGCATTCGCCGTTACCGCACGACAATTTCCCCTCCGGACAAACGGGTTCGTCGGTTTTAAGGATGGGCAAGACCTTACGCGGCTCTGCAAAATGCAATCTTCGTTAGATCACGCAACGCTCATCTGCTAATTGATTACCATTCGAAATATCGAGCAGAAATCCATCAAACATCAATAGAATGACCATAAAATGCCTAGTACGAAAAAGTATTTGTGTGCTTTTAATCAGTTTTTAACGTGAATCAGTAAATTATAACTTTAGTTGGGACATAAATTCTTTTTATTTACGATTAAAGTTAATTTCGTTAATTAATAAATGTTATTAATAGATAAAAGATCTTGTAGTACTTTGTAACAATTTTATGGCCAATTATCAACTATTGTATAAGATCGTTATCGTTATCGCGCTCTATATAATTTACGTGAAGAATTAAACTGGTGGTGCAATCAAGGCAATTAAGATCTCATAATAGGCACTTTGTGGCCAGTTATTGAATATTATATGAAATTCTCGCTGCTGTTGGTGCTCTAAGTAATTTACGTGACCAGCTACAGGTGTAATCAAGGCCCGATTGCCACTATTCCCCATTTATTTACACGCAGCAGCGTAGGAACCGTGTATCGTTCTGCATAGTAGACTTGGAGAATACAGAGATGCAAAATAAAACTGTCAAGCTGGGTAGGTTGTGCTGAATTAATTCGTGCCACCCACTTTTCCGCAGTCTACCTCGTCACCTTAGCGAGCAGTAACATATTAAATCCCTACTCTTTTTTAACGCGCGGTGGCGAAATATATATGTCATATATACAGGTAGCTCAAAGATTTTGAGTTCTCGTAATTCTTCTGTAGGGATCTTATATTAGAGTTTAGCCACGAGCGATTTCGTTAAAATCCTACGAGAAAGAAAGATATATACACATTTGCCCTGTATATATGTGTATATGTGTACTATCTCACTTTTAGTTATACTGTTACACTCTGTAACTTTGATTAAGATACAAAATGAGATAGTACAAGTTAGAATGTAATAATATATATATGTATACAAGGAGAAATGATATATATTATATCTTTCTTTCGTAGAGAGGATTTTGAAAAAATGGCTCGTAGCCAAACTCTGACGTAGGATCTCTATTCCGGAGGACAGAATGCCTTAACCTTTCATTACTCATATGGGATACCCTCGTTTTAAATTCGAGTATGAGTTCTATTTATATTCATTATTATATTTAGCACAAATTGCTCATACAACAGACTTCGGACGTCCTAAAGACGTACAGAAGACATCCAGAAGACATTCTTCAAATAAAGTATGACTAGGTACTTTACAAGAAAAAAAATGTTTATATTTATTTTTACCTAAAAGATGTATAGAATACAAAAATTAACATATATAATGTCAGTTGGGATGTCAGAAACACTCCACGCGAGCAATTAAGTTAAAGAAAAAAAAACCACATGAGTAATACAAAGTTAACAGCACTCTTTTCTACGCCACTACCCTCTGAATTCTTTTTTCTTATTTCAATTCTCCGTCGGAATGGCTTTTGTCTCGTCTGGTTTGCCGACCCTTTTATTTTCATCTTGCAGTCTTCTTCTACATTTACCGTTGACTACAAAATACGCAATTTGTCGGTCGGTCAACGTTCTTTTCAGAGCTTCCCATTTCATTCTCCACGAAAGGGTATATACATATATGTACGTCTCGTCCTGCAACCACTTTACCGGTTCTCGCAGGAAGACTATTTGTCTTTCGCTCGATGGCGAAACTTCAAAGATAAACTTTGACTCGGCATTTGTCTGCCTCGTCGACTGGCAGCGCTGCACGCAAGCCGTTATTCGTATGTATGAGAAAATGAGACAGGCAAAAAGAAAGTGAAAAAAAAAATGTGTTTTGAAAATGTGATAGTGCGAGTGAAATTGTAGAGGAGCGAGAATAACTGTTGCGAAATTAAATTAGAGAGTGAAAAGCAGCATGAGCATGAGGAATTTGGCATGTTTAGCAATGTCGCGATTTTGAGGATCAATTGATGAATGTGATGAAGACATTGAATAACGTATTTTTATTTTGTTATTTCTTCGCATTCGTGAAGACTCAAATTTGTTAAAACCTTCCTTGGTGTTTGGAAATCGATGACTCTTGTGTCTGCACCTTTTAGCTTAGCTGCCATTTGTAATCGAATAAAGGTATCCGATATTCTATTTACCGATCGACAGCTGCGACAGATTAAAATTACGGAAAAGAATATGAATAAACATCTCCATTTCCCGTCATCTGACGAACGAGAGAAAGAAGAAGTCTCTCTCTTAATGAGATTAACGATCGAATTGATCGCGCATTTCAAGTAGTAAAAGCGAGCCAGTCATACGGCTGGCCCGAGTAGCCGAGGAAGTACTCCTATAAGGAGGCCAGACCGCCGAAGCGAAACCGATCTGGATATAGAGAAAGATCGGCGAACGAATACGTGTAACTTCGTACCTGGAGCGAATTAGGGGGAGAAGGGGGAGCGCTAAATGTTAGAAAATCATTGCGTGCCAATGTTGACTCGTACTGCAGAAAGATCGTGACATTTGAAATTTCATCAGCGACAGTCACGTATAATGCGAGATATACATGTATCTCAATTATATTTTACTAATATACGTTAATTTTAATTTTTTAATATTCATTTAATAGCCGCGCTTGAAATAGTAGAATTAATTTATCTAACACAAAGTTCGTATTCAGCGCAAAAATCAAACGCAGCGGTGCGTTCAACGTTAAATGGAAATTACATTTTGAAATATCTCGGTGCACAATTATCTTCGAAGTAGAGAGATTATCAGTGGACGAGTTGCAACACGTGATTTTATGCACAAACGTTTTTGCGCAAACGTTGTGTTCCTTCCTGCAATCTCTCATAACGGAAATCACTTAGCACGAGATTCGCTTACTCAGTAACTGACTTCGAACGCTGTCACTCAAAAGTAAGTATCTCTCAGCCACTAAATGAGATATATCTAATGTACACGGGATAAGTATTTCGCTACCGGTTATCGCCGCTCACGAGAAGTAACAGTGTTGTAACGCGGAAGCCTAATAGCCTTCCGCGTGCACACTGGCACGAAACACAGTGTTAACGATTTGACGACATACCGACGTCAAGTCGAGAGACAGCTCAAGTCCAGTAAAAAGATCGAAATTGGACGAAACCGCAAGAATCAAATATCTCATTAAACTTCACTTAACTCAAATGCGGAATCAGCGTAAGTTGAAATTGCCTTCCGTGAAAAGAGAGAGATTCTTTAGCAAAAGGAATTCTCAATGCGATTGTAAATTAGAAAAGAAAAATTAATTGATACATGTATATTCAATAGCCATCTTTTAAATAATCGAAACGAGATCGGAAAATCATTGATTAAATCAGAACGGAATCGAGGACACTGATCTCTTCGTCCAACTCCGTTGGAAAGTGCAGTTTTGTTAGTCTTATGAGCGGTGAGTCGTGAAAATTGCATGAGAAAAATACGGGAGAGTTAGTTTCGAGGATTCGAAACCGGGTTAGTCGTTCGCGAGGCCCGATGTTTTCACGACCACAACGTCTCTGAAGTGTTTTCGTGCCTCGAAACGATGAGGCATTGAACAAGGCCACACTGGGCCGGCACTTTCGCTGAAAATCGAAACCAGTCTCGATCAAGACTCGCCGCGAGCCTCAGGACGAAAGTGGTCTGACGAGAAACGTCTCTCGAAAGTATCAGGACCTGGACATTTTCGATCGTTAATCGCTCTCTGCCTGAAAGTACAAATCCCTTCCCTCGTTTCCCCTCGCGATCAATCTCACGTCGAATCCCATCATCATGTTAATGCGCGCTTTCCGGTTTACTGGTATCACGCGTCGTTGGAAAGTTTCGCATAGTTGACTTTTTTCGAGCCACGTCGTTTACGTAACGGAAACGGATTGCGCAATAATCCTTATCGCGATTAAAAGAAGCGACTTCTTGCTTATTAATTGGGTAACGATCTTATCCGAAATCAAATTACAATCGAAGACGAAAACTTTCAAATGTTTCGAAGAAAGGACCTTGCACTAATCGTATGGAAAAAATTTTAGTCAAATTGACTAATATTAATGTTTTGTAACTTACGAGATGCTAATTAAAAGTTATTATTAAAAAAATAGGCAGATTTTGCTGTATCATTTAAAAGTTGTTATTTTGAACCTATTTATACTAAAAAGTATCTTTATCTACAATACAGAGTTTTTTCTATTGCATAAGCATTTATACAGTTAAAAACGTATATAAGGTGTTCCATTGCTACAGGACATTTCATATATGACGAACAATTTCTGTGTCTCTGTTCATCAGCATTACGTATAAATCAGCGAATATTTAGCTTTAATTTTTTGTATAATTTTATAATTTTTTTTATATCTGAAGAGGGCTTAATATAAAACCGAAACATGTATTAGACCTATAATATTATTTATCTGTTTTTGCATTAATTTTTTAAAATACACATATTATCATTTATTTTTAAGTTTATCATTATTTGACTTTTATATTATTTGACTTTATATATATATTTTTGTATTTTGAATATTAAGAGTTCTGTATTATTTCGTCTATTTTACATTTTATATAACTATACGTGTGTATTATCCATTATTAAAAGATTTTGTTGCACAATTTGTGTGTGTAATACTACAGTAAAATTTATCTATTTCTTATGATTATGATTATGATTATGATTATAAGAAAATTTCTAATTAGTATCTCATAAACCAAAAAAATGTAACAATTTGACTGAAATTATTTCTTTATAATTAGCGCAGAGTCCTTTGACTTCCACACACAATTGGTATCTCTACTTCTTTTAATATGAGCATTCAGAGACGTTTAGGGTCGCCGCGCATCGTAGGAAACTGCGTAAGGTGCGTGAAGACGATCATGCATTAGTTCTAATGATACGAACGGTGCGTGCTACGTTGCGAGTCTACGAGGGAATCGGCGATTTAACCGGCGAAATATTGGCCATCGCCGATTCTCCGACTTACTCTCGAGCTTGTCACAGTTGGTGACTTTGCCCTTCCAGTCGCAGGTCTGTTTGTCCAAGTCAAAGGCCAATCCGCTGGGACACGTGATTTGCTTCAAGCCGGACCTTGTACACCTGCCGGAGCCGGGACAGAAAACAAAGGGTGCCTGCGTGAGTCTAATTAAAGAAAAAGACGTGACGTTTGCTTACTCTCGAGCTGATCGCAGTTCTTCACATTCGTCTTCCAGTCGCAGGTCTGCCGCTCGATGTCGAACGCAAGACCCGTGGGGCACCGCACCGTCGCCAGCCTCGTTACTCCAATCTCGCTGGCTTTGTCGCACCTAAGATCATTCTCGTATCGAAAATCTTTTCCCTTTAGAGTTCCTCAAGAGTCTAATCAACTTCGACAGTGTCAAATGATGCTCGAATAACGGCGAGCCAAAGAAGTGGGCAATAAACAATTGTTAAAATGAATTTTTATAATAATTATAGTAGTTATACGACTAAAGATATGTGTAAATTTTGTAAATTGGTAATTTTATAAGTTAAATATACAATATTTTATCATTTTTATTATTTTAATTGCTGTTCAAATTTTCATTCAATTTCCACGTTATTAAATAAAAAGTTTCGATTGATTCTGCCATCATTGATCACAGACTCAAATAAATCTATTTGTAATAAGAAATAGTACTTTTGGCAAGACTTGCCTGAGGGACTCTATTTCCCACGCACGTGTAACGGTCTCGAGAACGCGGTGAGTAATTTCGAATTTCGCTTTGTTTTGCGAAATAATTAAGCACGGAATACAATAGAGATGCGTTTACACTAAACAAGTATAAGTGTGTTTACATTAAACAAGTATAAGTGCATTGACATATTATAAACTGGCGTTATATATGCCATTGTTGTTACGTAATATGACCAAGTAATATCTAGCGTTTATGCCCTTCTATTGTATTCCGTTGATATGATTTTAAGTTTTAATGATACTCTCATGAATGAAAGTCATTGAATAAATGAAGGAACAATGATTACTGCATTAGAAATACGATAAAGGAAAGTCACTCGTGTCGATAAAAAAAAATATCAAATGGCAAGTGAAATGTTAAACTGGTCTCGGAGTTGCATCTACCGGATCGCCTTGAGTCCTGGAAAATCGGAACTTGATCGAGGCATTCCTGATCAATCACATCCTGGATCAATGACTAAACCGTTAACGTTATTTTTATCATCCATGACTAATCGTCATCTACATTCCGGGATGTATTTATTATACATTCTGTCAAAACCGGATGCCCTTGGGACTTACATTCTTTGTCATAGTACCGACTAAAAGATGTAAAAGTCAAATAAGAGAAACAATCCTATTTTTAGTCAAAAAGAATTTTGGTGCTTAATAGTGTATATTTTTGCATAAATATTATCAAGTATCAAAATCTGCTTTTTTGACCAAAAATAGAATACTTTCTGTTACTTAACTTAATTTTAAAATAAAATTTCACTTAGAAGATACAAAATGTAGTATATTTAGCATGCATCCTGCGTCCGATAATTTTAGCAAAGCTCTTTTAAATGTGTGTGCATAAAGGTGAGTAAATTAGGATTTATTAGCGAGATTAAAATCGGCGCGTGTTCCAGGGAAAGTGTATAACGATTGAGTCTGACGAGTCTGCTTCCTGGCGACCGGTAGAGTCAGTGATATAAGACGAGATACAAGCGGAAATGAGTCAGCGAGCTAGCTTTTTTTATTTAAAACCCGATTCACCTTGCGTGTGATTCCATTCACCCGCGGCTGCTGTAAATTAAATGCATTATATAAGACGGTATATATATATGTATATAATTATACTGATATAAAGCGCGGAGACAACTTGCCGCAACGTTCTCCAAGTTCTTGGAAACCGGTGCCTAAATTTTTAATTTCTGGGTAAAATGGTGAGAGGTTTATATAATGTTATTCGGAACGTTGAAGTGGGATCCGATTCTGTATTCGCGGAATAATACGACAACTTACCTCACGACATCGCGACAGTCTCCTTCAACGCTCAAGCGAAAGTATTCGTCGCCCGGCCTGTCCTGACAAAGTTCCTCTGCATTTGCGTCAACTCCGTCGGCGCCTTCCTCATCTTGCGCTCTAACCTGTGTCCCTGAAGACAGGAATATGATTTATTAATCAATAATTCTCGTTTTGCATTGCGTGTGAGTCACACAACTTTATATTAAATTCAATTTACATCTTCTTCGCAATACACAGTCACAATACTTAATAATCATTAAATCTTATAAAAATTGTACAAAATATATTGCAGAATTCAGTAACAGAGATATATCCTTAAATAAAAATATATCCTTATTTTTGATCGTCCTAATTTTTAAATAGCTCAAATCTTTTAATGATTATTTCCATGAATAATACTGTCATATGAGAGTTGTAGTAAAAATGAGGGTATTGTTTAATGATCAATTGATCGAAGGCGGACTTCAATTGAATGTGACATTTTACACGGGGACAAAGCGGAGGTGAATTCGATTAATCGTTGAAAATGTCACGATCGGTTCACGATACGATCATGCGCTTCACGATCGCGAATCGAAGGAGGGGTCGGTGAACTCCGGTAGAAGTAGAAAGTCTTGAAAATGTCAGGACAACGGGGGAGGGGAAAGTGACAGTGGTTCTCCAAAGTAGGTTTTATTTCTCTCTCTTCCTTTTTTAATGCACATCACCAATATTGATTTCAAAGATTCTCGTGTTGTATATTTATAACTTCAATTAAATATCCATACTGACAGTATTTCCCTTCCATGCAGTATTCAAACTCGTTATATTTTTTCAATAAGATTAATATGTATCTGACAATTTCGATCAAGTAGTTCGTTCTATATCAAGTGTTTGACATATATTATATAAATTAAAATTTAAAATTGAACTTCAACTTTAATAACTATAACTACCATTCGAATAAGCGTCGGAATCGCAACGCGAGAAATTTTGGCACGGTTAAATTGTAAGATTACTGATAGATTGCACTTACCGACGAGTAGACACAAAGATCCCAGCAGAAATATCAACTTCGGCGACATCGTCGTCGTCGTCAGGACAGAGAACGTCTGGACAAGCCGCGCCCTCTCCGCCCCTCTATATGTGCACCACCACTCCTTCTCTTTTCATTCTGGGACTTTCACCTTCCGGATCGTGCTGCCACCTTTCAAGTGGGCATCAGGAAAGAAGCGAAGTTCTGTTTATAGGAGAAGACGATTAGTGGATTAGTAGTTGAGTCCTACTATCAGTGGGAATTTAGCTGTAACAATTATTACACGCATGATAATCATTACAATGTTATAAAGATACATACAAAGACCTATTTTACTGAAGCATTTAAAAATGTAGACAATTGAAAATAAGTTTGTTGAACTATCAAAATAATTTTATAAAAAAAACTCAAGCAATGCTTAAAAAGTTTTAACACTTTAATAATCATCTTGCACATTCTATATAATTATTTTGATAGTGCAACAAAATTATTTTCAGATCTAGCTAAATTTTTTGATACTACTTCAGCAAAATCATTCTATCAATGTGATTATTACAACATTCTTCCAACTTCACCTAATTTTGATGAAGGAAGTATAATCTTTAAACCTATAAATATAAGTCAATATTCAAAATGCATTTATATCGATAAATTTTAGTTTTAAAATTCTATAATACATACAATAAAAATTATACTTTATATTTGTATTACAATAGAAACGTCCTACTCAAGAGTTCTTGTTAAAATATTACATTAAATTTTTTATATATCCGATTATTCATTTTTAACATAATATGATTGTATTATTTGGTCATTTTGTGTTAAATTGATATTTACCATTTTTTAATTTTAAAATAATACAATGTGTGAGTTAAGTGAATAACATTAAAAATTTTTTTTAATAATTTTTTAAATATGTAAATAAAAAGATTAATAAAATTTGTTAATCTATCATATATTATACGTATTAAATTTATTGCGACATGTTAATTTAATTAATTGTATTATATTATAAAAGTTAAATTTGATGTGTGCGAAGAAATATGATTGCTTACAAACTGTGTCAGTGTTACATTTTTTGTGTTAACTTTTTACATAATGCTTATGTTACCTTCTATAATAATATATTCATTTTATGTTAAATTTTTAACGCAAATTTTCCAACTGTATGTAATACAAAATACTGAATACGCTCGAACATCTTTAAGCGCATTCTGAATACGAACCATAATCTCTAAAACGAAGGCAAAATGAAAATCTAGGATTTAGAGAGACAAGACGCGAGTTGATCGTGGGATAGAATATAGAATTAATCGGTTGTATTCAGATCCTATTTTCTACCTGGCTCCGTTATTTATTCTTTATTTTTGCGCTATCGGCTTGTCCGACGTGGAAACCATTTTTAACTCGGCGGATCACTGGATTAGGTAGCTTTTTTCTCCGACAAAAATCGCATCAGGAATGCCGTACGGCAGATTTTCTGGATTTATGACGTTGTTTTGGATAGCTAAGAGAATTAGAAGATTTAGCATTTAAATCCCTAAGAGCTTTCTATTTAAATATTGATTTGTATAACAAAAATAATTTTTGCAGTACAAGTGTGTCACTGTATCCATTATTCAAGGTGACCAATCCATGATCCAAACCGTGACTTTGATCACCGCACATCGAGAAGTGAAAACGAAATCTTTTACGGAGCTTCTTTTTATGATCCTCATGAAAACGTTACGGTATCCTGAAAGCGATGTCGCGAATGAAGCCTTGCACTCATAAACCTGAGAAAGTGTCACTCGCGTCGCCGTTACTTTCAACGAGAATCGCACTTGACGATGCACTTAAGTACCATTTCGAGGCACAGTATCGAGGAGTATCAGGATATTCACAAAGTAAACTGAACGTATAGCCCCCATTAAGGGGAACGCGTTATGGATGCCCAAAGCGAGTTCCGCTTGAAAACGGAACATCCGAGCGTGGGAAGAGGAAAGTCATTCGAACAAGGGAGATATAATTTGAGATGTAATGTTCGTGCGTATATATGTATGTGACGGCGGGATCGCTCGCAGCGCACTGGGAAATTAACTGCCTGCTCGCGTCTCTGTGAAATTGTTAATGTTTTAATCCCTTTAAGTACATAATTGCGAGATGAATCCTTCCGGAAGAGTAGTATCACCTGCATGTGCAGCGAGGCGAATTTTTCGTGTATCGAGATGCGTTTGACCTTTAGGTCGAAATCTATTGTCGCGTCTCCGAAAATACACTTTCTCGAAACAATGTAGCGCACTAATCTAGCATTCGAATCGAGTTTGCGAGCTATATTTTAAGACACACATGGGAGGGACAGTCACATAAATATATATCCTTTTTCTACCGATATCAAATCGCTAACTTATTTTAATGAACGCGCATCCTCGGGGCTCTTGGCGAGATGACGATAATCTCGGGTGACCAATAAATTTACGGTTTACGCAGCAAAGGTTATCTGTGTCGTTACGGGCGAAATAACATTGCAATACGCATATTATTACACGAAGCATTTGCATCGCACGGCGAAAGACATTTATTCCAAATTCAGGTTACGAGCGTACCGTGCGACACGTGCAAAAGAATATAGATCTTCTTCAATGCTGAAAAAAAAAGGCAGAATTATACGTAGGTCGGTGTATTGATGTCACGAAAGCGACACAAAGGTACATAATAAGAAGCTCGCTCTGATGTGAAAGATCTTGTTTTTACTTAATAATTGTTGAGATGAGCGTTTAACTTGTGATACCACAATTACGTTACATATAACATTAAGAATTCAACACTCTTATCAATAATTATAATACAGCGGTGAGCCACAAAAGATGTTACTATTATAAACGATTGTATTATATTAGCCCTTTTACATTCGTATCTAAGACGTTTACCAAATAATTAATTATAACGTTTATATGCATTTTTTTTTAATATACAACTTTACCAATATTTTCTAAAGATATTAAAATACATGTAAGAATCACTTAATAATTTTTATATATTTATTAAAATGATAAAAATTAACTCGGGACATAAATGACCCATCGCGCGTAGTAAAGGATCAGGAAATCATCTTGTGTACTAAGAACTAATCACATCCTTAATTAAAACAACTTTACGACTATAAATTCGGACCTAAGAGTATACATTTCGGCGAGGCTTTCCTCTGCATTGTGACACTGGAGGACCCAATGGCATTTCTAAATAAGCGCTTGCGAGCCGAGTCCTTGACGAGATGCACGCGTCTGGATGCCGACGGGGGCACACGTTCACCACCGTACGTGTAATAAATAAATGGGGAATCGCACAGGAAACCAGTTTTCGTTATATTCGCGATGCGCGTACGGTGTGTGTCGACCTCTTCATTCCGTTCCTCCCTCTTCCTCCAACGCGCTCCGTTGTTGCGGTGTCCTAGGTGAGCCCGAACGTATTCTCGTTATCCTCACGATCGACCTCATCTTTTTACGGCGTTAAGCGGAGCGACCGGTTGCCAAGTAAAAGTGGCTGGCATAATTAAAAATTATTCCGACTGCTCGGATACACATTCGCCGCTGTTCTAGGTCACGCTGCGGAGCAGTCGCATTAACTGTACATCGCGTTCGTTATTACGAATTCAAAGGCCGGCATTACTTTCGATGCCGATTTACCGCTTACACTCCGCTGGTCACTGCTCAGGTGATTCTGCGGATTTATGAACACATGTTATTCTTCTTTCTTTTTCTGAACTCCCTCAGTAGAGGGTGGACTGACTCCAAAATCCAAAGTATCTCCTAACATCTGAAAGTTTATTCGATCAATATCTACATTAAAAAAATAATTTTCTTGATTGTATTAAAAAATTTAGTTACATACAGATCTGGAAATAATTTTGTCGGAACATCAAAATAATTCTGTAGAACACTTAAACATTGATAACGCAAAAAGTTTATTATTCTAGTGACTATAGTTTACAGATCATAAATTTTTTACTCACTAAAAAATGTACGAATAAGTTACTATAGTATACATAAGAAGATGATATTATGTTACCCTATTTATGTTTCATGCAATAACTTGGTTAATAAGCAATGTTTAAAAAAAACTTACAGATTACATTCGTCGAAGTATTATTCAATCAATTTTAGACTGAATATTACGAAACATTTATTATTTAGGACATTGTAAAATGCAGCGGCACTGCATGATTAAAAAAACAAGAATACAAATGAGACATTCCACACAAATAGATTAAAAAAATTGGTTTAAAAAAATAGTATTTGGTTATAAAATTAATAAAACAGTAAAAGATTGCAGGATTAATTCATGCAAATGTATCTACATACAATAACTTAATTCTTCCGCCCCAGCGAGAAATGTCAAATTAACATCAGTCAACGAAATTCCATCGAATCGAAATATTCATTATCAGACTCTTAAACAATTAAACAAACTACGTATTAATTATTATATTTTATTATGCGCATATATATAGCCAAATAAAATATTAAATAATGAACAAAAAAATCATAAAAAACTAAATATTTTATTATTAACAATTACCATTAATCAAATATCAATCTAAAGCACATAATTGTTTTGAATATATATTATTAATTAATAAATTAATAATACAATATTAATCTAAAGGTAGAAATTGCTAATAATAACCACTCTTCTAGTATGAGTGTCCTACATAATTATTTTAATGTCTAAATACAATAAGTTATTTCCAGACCTGTATCCAGCTAACTTTTCAACTTCAGCAACACTGTTCTTTCTGTGTAGTGAACACATGTTTCTCAAAGTTTGGTAAGACCAAAAGAGACATTTCAATCAAGCACCATAAATATCGTGACGCTCGAACTTCTAAACTCGTCACCGATTGCAAAATGCGGATCATTCGTAGCGAGGAAAGATCGGGCGACAAGAAAATTTTCATTACCTCGTCTAGGACGGCTGCGGGGGTCGCGATAAATGTCAATTGCCAATCGACATTTCGATGCCTCTTCTCTCCGGAGACGCCGCCGTCTTCTCCGACGGTGCACTGAACTGTAGCTTTTCTCC